CCCAGGAGGGGTGTGAAAAAGCAATATAAATAAAATAAATAATATAAATAATATAATATATACATATAAATAATTACATAAATATACACATAGGATTTAAATACATATATATGTATATATATTTGCATTCTATGTGTATATTTATGTAATATTCTAACATAATTAAGTCATTTTGTTAATTATGTTTTGAGGGACCAGTCTAGGCAGCAAGTCCAGAAAATTTAATTTGCAAGCCCATATTTCCCACCATAAAACCTGGTCATGGGGGTACTATTGTACTTGGGAGACTTCGCAGAACACAAATATGTTTGTTATAAAAGAGTAGAACCTATCACGACGATGATTTCACCAGTAAAATGGCATTTTTTTGTGTAACAAATGCAAAAAACTAATATAAACGCTAGCTTTGGCCAGCGTTTATGACTAAGTAGCTACTAAAAAACATTTGACATACCCCATTTTGAATACCCTGGGTTGTCTACTTTTTCAAAAGGTATGCCATGGTGGGGTTAATTTTAATTTCTGGGCTTCCATACAATCTCAAAGGCAACATAAGCCCAGCAAACCAATCCAGCAAATTTCAATGGAAAAGGGGAAAGCCCTATATTTGACCCCTGCTAGTTTCCAAAACCTCATAAAACCTGTACATAGGGGGTACTGTGGAACTCGTGAAACATTGCTGAATACAAATATGTGTATTTGATTGCAGTAAAATCTAACAGTATGAGGACATTCACAGTTAAAATGTCATGCAGAACTTGAAAAATAACAAATTTCTTTTATTTCTCACACTTTTTTGGATTTTATTACATTCAATTATGTTTCATATATAAATATGTGATATGAAATAAAAACCCTGTTTATCCTGAACAAAATGATATATAATAAGTGTGGGTGCACCTAATATGAAAGAGGTGAACAACATATAGCGCAAATTCCAGGTTTTGTTTACATTTTACAAAAAGAAAAGTCCTGCGCTCACTCCCATCACTCCTGGGCGGCAGCAACGACTACAGTACACATCAGCTAATACAAATAAAGCGGAGGTGTCCTTGAATTCGTGAATCTCCTTAATTTCCCCAGGCCAGTTGCCCCACATCCAATCATTGCCAAAAATTGCGGCAAATCCGGATGAGGCCGCAGCATCCATTAAGATAGACACAGACTTGTCTGTCAAAACTGGAACAAAAATGCTCCTCCCATCCCAATGCAGCAAGAGGAATCAGATTGCAATTGAGGAAATAAGTAATTGGGATATGAAAGCCTGCCCTTGTGGTATAATTTTCATTGCAAAATTAAGTGATCACAACAGGCATTGCAACTCCTTCCAATTACAAGAACCCCCGGTTAGGTAATGGTCAATGGCTGAAAGGATGCGCTCAATCTTTTCCCGGGGGAGGCTAGCCTGCATATGAACAGAGTCCAGCACAACCCCCAGGAAATTAATGATTGTATCAGGACCTTCAGTCTTTGTGGGTGAAATAGGCACTCCTAGTCGAGTGAACAATCGTGTAGTAGAATGGAGGCTACTGGGTGGTAACGGGCTACTCTCTATGGACAGAAAATCATCCAGGTAATGGATAACAGTGGGGCATTTACAGATGTTAAGCAGCATCCAACACAATGTCTCCGCAAACATATTGAAAATTCTGGGGCTGCTCTTAGAACCAAACGTGAGACGTGTGAAAAAATAGTATGAACCTTGCCACTTAACACCATGTAAATGACACAGGGACGGATGGATAAGGAGTAGCTTGAAAGCATTCACTATATTCGTTTTGCCAAGCCATGCTCCCACCCCAGCTAAGAGGATGGCATTGATGGCATTATCTATGGTCGCGTATTGGAGTGAGAATTCCTCCGATGGAATAAGTGAGTTAAGACTTGGGGTAGGTGATGCATGGGGAGCAGAGAGGTCAATAATCAACCTTATCTTATTCGATGATTTACCCGTGACCAGTCCTAAGGGGTTAGTTCTCCATACCGCGAAAGGCGGAGAGACGAAAGGGCCTATTAAAAACTCTTGGTCTATTTCTTTATGGAGCAGTAGGTTAATTGTGTCAGGATCAGCCAGGGCTGTCTGCAAGTTTTTACATTCCATGACTCCAGTATGCATAGAAATAATACCTGTGTGAAACCCCAAGGTGAAACCTGTTACCAAAAATTCTACGAGATGTTGAGATGGGTGAACACACAATAATTCTTTAAGCAGGGAGACATTAAGAGATGAAAAGTACTGCATAGGGTATAATTTATTTGGACACATTATCTTAGAGTGAGCACGGAAACATTGGGAGCAGATATGAAGTAGTCTGCAGGCGCTGTATCCACAAGTGCCAGTGTTAAAGTTATTGCAAACTTGTGATTTTCCTAAGAACACTGTATCGTGTCATAGCTTATCCTTAAGAACCTTGCCTGGCCTCCCTGTGGGCAACATGTTGGTAGGGGGGCAGAAAGTATCCACTGCTGGGGTGCACAGATTCGCAGTGTGCAAGTTGGAAGAACAAATGGCACAAGCTGGTGCCTTCAGGCCCGCAAAGTGTCGACAAAAATCTGTGTGTCAAGCACACTCTAATCAGCTTGATAATTAAACTGGGACAGAGCTGCCGACGCCTGGTGGTAGTCGTAAAAAGAAAGCACGGTGGTAGTCGTAAAAAGACGTACCACCGTACTTGTGCCCCAAATCCACCAGCTTGTGTAGGTATTTAATTATCAATTCTTCCCTCCTATCGGGATATACAGAGCATATCATGTCCCTGTAGATCCCGAAAGCCAACACAAATTCCGGTATGGATAGCTTGTGATTCAGCCTAGGGTCCCTGGATTTTAACACAACAGACATGTCCCCATATGCATATGTTTTGTTATTAATGACATCTTGAGAAGCAATGAGAAGAGATATCAAATTGACATCCTTTCTCTCCGAGATGTCCTTCCTTATGTTAGCTGGCACCATGTGTGCCGGGTTAACAATATGAGGGTCTTTAGAACCTGTTGGAACATTACCAGGTAGGGGGCCGGGGAAAATTGCAGTGTCAGGATTCCACAGAACCGCAGGAGAATTCTGCTGGCTAGGTGCGTCCATCTTTATCAAGCTTGTCGGTAATACGACCCAAGGAAGTCAGGACCGATGCTAATACAGCTTGCAGATCAGAAGTCTGACCGCTACTAGACCCTTCTCCCGCCTCCAGTGTAATCAGTTTGAGTATTTAAAAGTCTATATAATTCCTGGCCGTGGCAAGGTAAGGAATGTTCCTCTTTATTAATTCGGCAATGATCCTAGGGATGGTCCATGATCTGAGGGATGAAGGGCTTGCAGTGTCACCACCGCGGAATGGAGTGACCGATCTAGCCGGTGTACTGGGGAGAGACAGTTCGTCCCTGCCTTCCGGTAGTTGTGACATGCTACAAAACAAAATAGATGGCTACCTGGGGCAATTCTCAACTTGCTGAAGTAGCTAATGCCAAGCAGCGAAACTATTAGGCAGTTACGTGACTGGTGATGCCCTGGTAGTTGCCAAGCGGCTTTGAGAGGCGCTATCTATGATTTGGCTCGAGTTGGGTACGTGGCCATTGACATTATGGCAGGGTGATGGCCTCTCCATGACTTGTAACAGCATAAGACAGAATGGGAGTGACAAGTGAGGCCCTCTCTATGCAACCAAGCGAGGCAGCTAATTATGAATTGGCCCGAGGGGATGTCGTACCTCCGAAATGAGGATGGGTGTTTGCCTCGCTGAACCACTAACATAAGGCTTAGAAGGCCAGAAAACATACCTAGAGGCTCCTATCTTTATAAGCTAGTAAGTAACTATACTATGACCCGATGGGGTATGGGGGTTGGGAGAAAGTATTGAGAGGAAAAGGACTTACCTGCTGAGAAATTGTAAAGTAGCAGGAGCAGATGACACAGGTGATCTGTAGTAACCTATGAGAGCAATCGTGAGTTTGCAAGGTTATATCAATATGTACCCTACATTCCCCTCCACTAACATGATACCTACCGGTATATATCCCAATGTAGGAGACTGGAACCAAGGAATCAAAACCGGCAAGGATGGCCTAAACCTAGTAATGCAGAAATTACACACAAGTACCCAGGCCTTATGGGACCATGAGTGGACAATTAAATGTAAATTGCTGACCTATCTGATGAAGCAACCGGGGGCAGAGTAGCAGCACACTGAGGATGCTGTTGAGACTGAAACATAAGATGTCCATAATCATTTATTAGCCTGAAATTGCCCAAACACCTAATAGCCCCATACACACGAAAGCTAAACCAGTTGAATGCTGCAGAAATGGGTACAGACAATTAAAATACTAGATATAGATGTACAAGCGATAGTGAAGTGAAACCGGTAAGCGGAACTGAATTACAACTTGACACAACCATCATGACCACCAGAGGATGCTATGACATAAATACATAATCTAGTACATAAAAGTGCTACGAAACCGTCGGTAGATAATTATCACTACTTGCCATAACCATCAGGACCCCTGGGGATCGCTATAACATATATACATAATCTAGCATATAAAAATGTTATGAACTGTCGGTAGATAATTTATAATTACCTGCCATAACCACCATGACCACCGGAGGTCGCTAAGACCTATATACCTAATATAGCATGTAAAAGTGCAATGAACCTGTCGGTAGATAATTATATGCCAACTTGCCATAACCAACATGACCACCGGAGGTCACTATAACACATTTGATATGCTACCGTCTAATAGTGCGTTCGGTAAACTATACGAATGGCCATGAGATGGCCAGGACTTGTACAAACATATCAATGCAGCAGAAACGAATGAACCACAGTACTAATGGGTACCTTGTACGTGTATGTAGTACCCGAACGCTCGGTCGGCCCAAATTGGCCGAACACAGCCCTGTCAATGATAGCATGAACTATAAGCATGTGTGAGCCCGGTCAACCCTGGATGACGTAAGTGCCTTCACTGTTATTGCAATGGGCGGTGTAACTTACGGTTTGTAACTGGACGCCGCTAATTGAGGCCCCTTGTACTACCAGTCGGTTTTTAGGACTCAGGCAGCTGAAAACCGGAGAATCAGGATCTGCTGGGACCAGGTAGGCTTCCACGAGGTGTAGGTAAGTAAATGAAGATTTGCTCGGACCGGAAGTGACCGCAAATCTCCAGACCTGAGACGGTAGTGAGGGAAGGGCTGGTGATCCTTAAGAAGGGGAACCAAGCTCCTCCCACAACTTCAGGCCCCACCTTCAATATATATATATATATATATATATATATATATATATATATAAAAGATACATGAATTGAAAAAGGTTCTAAAATTAAAACTAACATTAACATCCATAGTAATTTTTACCGTAAGCCTTAAAATGTACAGGCAAATACTTTCAAAAAAGAAAAAAAGGATAGGAAAAATGGCAGAATTACTAGTAAGCAGAATTATATGAAAGAGAAAAAAATATAATGAACATCATATAGCTGTTATATATCAAGGACGTGACTGAAGGGGCATGTAATAGAGAACAGTGTTGAAAGGAGTGATAGAACAGATTTGAGGGGAGCTATACAACAGGAGACATGATTGGGAGGAGGAACAATGTGGGAGACACAACAGAGATGAAAAGTTATGGACAGAAATTGATGAGGAGAGAGTTGAGGAGAAAAGAAGGAGAGTTATTTCTGCCATTAAAAACAATTACCTGTATGTACAAAGACACAGTGGCAGAACACCTTTTGTACCATAATCTATGTCAAGAGCCTAGTATTTTTGGTGGTTAGAGTGTATCTTTAACCACTTGGTTAAATGCTGTGAAGGTTAAATAGTGATATAAGAATTGTGGTAATAAAAAATCCAGATTTGAAGAGGATAATAACTCATTGTAGTACACTGCATTACACATATTTATAGTGTTTGAAAGATCTGTCTTTTCTAAAGCCTTTTCTTTAAGTCATTTCAGAAACCTACCTTTATATAATTATTATTTAAATATATAATAATGTTTTTGGGTTGTGGTTATCATGAGTCAGAGGTTACTGAACTTCTGCAAAGCTTTGCTTTGCTTATATCTCTTAGTTCATTCAATTTAAAAGAGAGCAAAATTAACAGTATACCTCTAAACTATTCTAACATGTTTATAGACCATGGGCTCTTGGTAGGTTGTTAACACCTTAAGGACCAAACTTCTGGAATAAAAGAGAATCATGACATGTCACACATGTCGTGTGTCCTTAAGGGGTTAAAGGACCACTCTAGGCACCCAGACCACTTCAGCTTAATGAAGTGGTCTGGGTGCCAGGTCCAGCTAGGGTTAACCGATTTTTTCATAAACATAGCAGTTTCAGAGAAACTGCTATGTTTATGAATGGGTTAAGCCTTCCCCCATTCCCTCTAGCGGCTGTCTCATTGACAGCCGCTAGAGGCGCTTGCGTGCTTCTCACTGTGATTTTCACAGTGAGAGCATGCCAGCGTCCATAGGAAAGCATTATGAATGCTTTCCTATGTGACCGGCTGAATGCGCGCGCAGCTCTTGCCGCGTGTGCGCATTCAGCCGACGGGGAGGAGAAGAGGAGGATCAGAGGAGGAGAGCTCCCCGCCCAGCACTGGAAAAAGGTAAGTTTAAACCCCTTTCCCCCCCAGAGCCAGGCGGGAGGGGGACCCTGAGGGTGGGGGCACCCTCAGGGCACTATAGTGCCAGGAAAACGAGTATGTTTTCCTGGCACTATAGTGGTCCATTAAACAATAGTAAGAACTTATCATATGAGACAACTCAAGTTGTATGTACCTACTAAGGTAAGTATTGGGGGTTTGGTGGATGCAGTTTATATTAAGTCATTGGTTGACATAACAACCTTTTTGTTATTGATTTTTATATAGATTTATGTGATTTTACACTAATGTCTTACTTCTGAAAAGGAACTACAATAACATTTCATGAAAATCAACTAACACTTCCCCAATTCAATCTTATCTTAGGCACATCATATAAACAAAATATTAAGCTCAGTGTGGGCTAAATTTGGGCAAACTGAGCAAATTCCATAATAATATCTAATTTAGTCGGGTCTGAAGTCAATATGGCTTTATTTTCCTTTATTGAAACTGCCCATGGGAATGGAGGATCATAGAGGAATCATGGGGAATCAAAGTGATTTTGCATAATGAGCTGGAAATTAAAACAATTTATTATAGAAAATGATGGTGCCTATTATTTGGTTCTGTCATCAGAGATAGGCTATTCATGCCACTGCTCACCACTTGTGATGCCTATATAAGACACCAAAAATCAAAAATAGGTGATGAATAAATTAGTCAACAATCACCATTATGTTAGTTGCAGGCAAAAACAAACAGACATTTTCCCTTTCATACTTACTGACACTAAGTTTGCAACAACACACATTTTAAGTAAATCCAGGATGCGTAGAATATCCGTAATGTGTACAATTTTCCAATTTTCTGACCTTACATTAGCCCACAATGCAAAATGATTATTATAATTGTGTATTCTGTAGAACCAAATTACTTTACACTGTAATGTTCCATCAGTTAAAATGTCACTCTAAGCATAATAATTACTACAGATGCCTATATTCCCCTTGTACCATCTCCCAATTTAATATCCAACTGTTTAAAAATTGTTTTATATAAATCAAGGGTCTTTCAGATTCCAAGGCATTATCAGTGTCAATTATGCCTAATTTGGACCGCACTGATTGACTGAGAGTGCTACAGGAATGTTAGTGTGGTCTGATATTAGATCAATGTACTGTGTCATAGGATTCTAGACACTGTACATTGATCGCTTTAGCAAGTTATTGTAGGTGTGCTTCATAGAATATCCCTTTAATCATATCTAAAAGAAGTATTGGTGCAGCCAACGCAAGAGAAAATAAAGAATCTCTACTTGCGAGTATGTGTTAATAAATCCTGCTACAATTGTACGCAGTAAGAATTCCAAAATTCCAAATGTCTCATAGTAATCACAGATATTAATATACTCAAAATACATATAGCACATTTAATGTTTAGTGCCAAACTGTAAAATTAGTTTATATGCTACAGCTAGTTATGAATGCTTTTTCACAATACAAAACAGTAAATACTAATGCTAGTGAAATTACTGAGCTATTTGGACAGGTGGCTTGATCACACACATTTTATATCTACATCGAGTTTGTGTAATTATTACCTATGTGCCCTTTCATGACAGGTGTTTTTAAGTACAGGTTCCACTATATTTTTCTTATTAGTCAAATATGGAGCTCTACATGCATAATTTAAGCAAACCTGTTTTAATCCAGATGCAAGGCACACTCTCAGGATGTTGAATTGCTGGATAAGTGAAGTGGCAAATATAATTTCCTAGGCTGTGAGAACAGCTGTTAGATGTTTGTGTTATTTTTTATGGGTAGTGCAAGCGGCTGCTTGAAAATGCATCTCATAGAAACAGTAGACGTTTTGGAACAAGTACATATTTATATAGTTTGTAGGGAATTGCATTGTCCTGTTCAGATCAGTTAGACCATGATACCTAGAAGTGTTTTAGCTAAAAATGGAAATGGAATGAGAAATTTCTCTAGCTCAGATACTTTGGCCTGATTTGTTTCCATTTACTTGTTGGTTCTCTAATGAATAACCCCATCTGTGTGAAAATTCTTCAAGGGTCACTTTAGGTAAGAGTTGATTCATTATTTTTTAATACAATATATATAGCTCACTTACTCATCCACTAAACAGCAACTTCAAAGCTCACAGATTGTATTTGGTTTTTTAAAAACACCTAATCTAGACAAAAATAATAGGGGTTAGTTACAGTATACATTGCATAAGTCTGCCACAACATCAATGTACCCCTGCTGGAGGTATGGGGAATGGAGTATAACTCCACACACTGGCGTACATACCGCGGTCGCAGCTGCGACCGGGCCCGACATACCAGGAGGCCGACCGCCCTGCGACCCGGGTATGTACGCCAGTGCGGCCACATTTTGCCAGCCTCTTCTCCTGGGGGGCCCAAGAGCTGGCCACCTCAAGGCCCCCCCGAGGCTGGCAGTGGTGTCAGTTTGTGGGTGGGTGCACACGCGGACGCGCAAGGGTGCATTCTCCCCTGAGCTCTCTCTGCCCAGCTCCCTTGCGTGCACCGCAGTGATGCTGGAGCCGGAATATGATGTCACTCCGGCTCCGGCATCAGTGAGCCATGCGCAAGGGAGCTGAACAAGAAGATCAGTGCTCCCTCGCCGCCTGCAGAACCGGCCGCCCAGCAGCCCCACTGGACCCCAGGAAAAGCTGGAATCCCCTCAGCACTCCCAAAGGTAGGGAGGCTGGGGAATTAAAAAAAAAAATGTGGGTGTGAATGTGTGTTAAAAAAAATGTGAGTGCGTGTCTGCTAGTGAGTGTCAGTAAGTGTGTTAGTTTTTGTGTGTCAGTGAGTATGTGTGTTACTGTGTGTGTGTGTCTGTTACTGAGTGTGTTAGTTTGTGTGTGTCTGTTGTTGCGTGAGTGTCAGTGTGTGTGTGTTAGTTTGTGTGTCAGTGAGTGTGTGTGTGTGTCAGTGAGTGTGAAACTCTTTGTTTTCAGCTGCAGGGTTAAAACTAGAGAGACCTGGCACCCAGACCACTTAATTGAGCTGAAGTGATCTGAGTGCCTATAGTGGTCCTTTAAGTGTATGTGTATCTGCATGTTCTGGTGTACATACCGCGGTCGCAGGCCCATGCAGAGTAAAAGGGGGGGGGGGCACAGATCGATTTTCGCACCGGGGCCCCATGGATCGTGTATACGCCACTGACTCAACATTAGACTTATCAGTCAATGCCAGTGATGGGCGGTAGTGATACCTGCTCTTAGTATATAAATATAGCTTATTGCTGCTTGGACTAATGTGGAAGCATCAGCCCAAGCAGCAGAGAGGAGGCTGTAGGTGTCTATGTATCCTCATTAAGTGTTAAACTATTGGAAAACTGTTTAACTATGGGCTGTTGCAACCGCAACAAGTGACTCTGGGCCCCGTAACAACTTCAAAGCAGTGCTGTAGTTGTGGAACCTAGAGTTTTCTTTTGAATAGATTAATAAAAGGAGCATCATTAGCATAGCTACCTTACACACTGCATCTCATATATGTGGTTGTCTGGAATTTCATTTTAAATCAAACATCAACAAGGCAACAAGCTT